ACAAATTTTGTACATTTTCCCTGGGCAGTCAGTCCACAATGGAACACTAATCACATTCTCGCAATGTATGAGGGCACTCAACAGTTAAGAATAGAGATGACTGATCGAGACAGATATAGTGATTTAAAAAACTGATCTAGTTAGGGTACAACTTGTGCTGCTCTAGCAGAGAGATCTCAAAAGGCAATGACTTAAATAAGAGAAAGTATTCTTCAAGAACATGAAAGTCAATGCTAGAGTGGCCTTTGGATGATTTAGGAACTCGGACAGTGTCTTGCTTCTTGCTCTTTCTTCTTTGACACATGGTTCTCATCTTACAGTTGACAGTAGAAGCTGTGAGCATAGTCATTATGCCCACATTCCAGGAACAAAAGGGGAGGACAGAACCCAACCCTTCCTTTTGAAGTCACAAAAAGCTGCACACACCATGTTCACTAACACTCCAGTCACCAGAGCTTAGTCACATGCCACACTCAGCTTCAAGGGAGAAGGCAAGAAAATGAAAGTTGTTAGCGAGGCAGTTTGTGCTCAGCTAAAACTCATTTCTGTTATTGAAAGTAGAATTGGCGGGGCGCCTGGGTGGCTTAGTCAGTTAAGCATCCAACTTCGGTTCAGGTCATGATCTCACGGTTCGAGGGTTCAAGCCCCGCATCGGGCTCTGTGCTGACAGCTAGCTCAGAGCCTGGAGACTGCCTCAGATTCTGTGTCTCCCTCTCTCTCTGACCCTCCCCTACTCCCTCTCTCTTTCTCTCTCTCTCTCTCAGAAATAAATAAAATATTAAAGAAAGAAGAAAGAAAGAAAGTAGAATTGGAGAAGGAATAATAGAATACACCTAGCAGTTTCTGCTGCATGTAAAACTGATGTTTCTGAAATTAATAGTTTCACTTATTCTTTTCACTACTCTCTAGTTCTTATTTTACTATATTCTATTTCACTGCTTTAAAACCTTGGTCATAACTCACTGATCATATTATGACCATTGTAGATGATGACCCATGATTTGAAAAACATTGCTTTAAGCTCCTTTTTGAAAAACATTGCTCTAAGCCTACCATGTCAGATATGGTAGCCAGTAGCCACATGGGCTATTGAGTGCTCAAAGTGTGATTAGTGTAAAGTGATATGTGTGGTAAGTGTAGAATCCCACACCAGATTTCAAAGACATGGTACAAAGAAAGAATGTGAAGCAACTTAGCGATTTTTGTATTGATTAAATGTTGAAATGGTAATATTTTGGATATACGGAGTTAGGTAAAATATGTATTACCAAAATTAATTCAATCTGCTTATTTTTGTATCTTAATGTGGCTACTATAAAATGCAAAATTACATAGGAGGCTCGCAGTGTATTTCTATAAAGCCATATTGCTCTAAACTCTAGATGCAAATGTTCAACGCCCTCCAAATGTTAATATTTGAATATTCCACAAGTACTCTTTAAAACTAGACTCTTTCCCTTCCCAGCCCTCAGCCCTCCTGTCTTCCATCTGTTCCCAGTCTGTGCATCCTCAGTCAAAGGCATTCAATCAGTTAAAGGCAACATAACCCACTCAGTGACCAACCAGGAAAACTGAAAGGCACATTCTCCTTTATCCGTCACATTTAGGTATTTAGTGTGTGATAATTTTACCTCCTAAATGTGATATAAATCTGTCTTTTTCTAACCTCATCATGAATGCCCTAGTTCAAAATGCCATCCTTTTTCACCTAGATAATTGTATCAGTTCCCAAATGGCCTCTCTGTCTCCTGGATTGTCTCCTTCCAGTCAATCCTTCAAAGTGACCTTTCTGAGAACCAAATCTGGAGACGTCATTTAAAACCTGATTACTCTCCTAAACAGTGCCAACATGCTTCTTTTTGATTTGAAGCTAGCTTGCTTCCCTTTTCTGAATGTGTGGGCATCTTCTCTATACAAGTGCTTTCTATTTCACTAAATGTGTCATGATTATTCTTAACCTCCTGAACCTTTGTATATATCATTCCTTATGTGCTTAGAATCCATTTTTCCCTATCTCCTCTTTCCCCCTGGCTAAACACTACTCATACTTCAGAGCTTAATTAAAATTTTGCTTTCTCATAGAATCCCTTTCCAAAGCCCAAGACTGGATTATGTGTCCCTCTTCTGTGCTCCCAGAGCAGCCTGAACTTCAATAAGAATGTTTGGCCACCAGAAGGATGAGATCGTGCCATTTGAAGCAGCATGAATGGACCTTGAGGGTATTGTGCTAAGTGAAATAAGTCAGACTAAGAAAGACAAAAACGCCATATGGCTTCACTCATAAGGAGAATCCTTAAAAAAATGAATAAAAAACAAAAAGAAGAATTAGACCTACAAATACAGAGAATAAATGATATTCCCCCCACTCACCCACTGGTTGGCAAATGGGTGAAGAGGAGGAGATACAGGCTTCCGGTTATGGAATGAATACATCACAGGAATAAAAGGCACAACAAGAATAGAGTCAGTGTTCTTGTATAACAATGTATAGGAACAGGTGGTTGCTGCACTTGTGGTAGACAGAAGGCAATGTGTAATGTATACACCTGTCACTGTGTTGTACACCTAAAACAAATGCAACAGTGCGTATCAACTATATTCAAATAGATCTGTAAATAACATTCCATTAAAGCACGTGTGCAAAAGATATTTCTTTTTTTTTTTTTTAATTTTTTTTAATGTTTTATTTATTTCTAGGAGAGAGAGAAAGACAGCGTGACCAGGGGAGGGTCAGAGAGAAAGGGAGTCACAGACTGAAGCAGGCTCCAGTCTCTGAGCTGGCAGTCAGCACAGAGCCTGACGCGGGGCTCGAACCCACGAACCGCGAGATCATGACCTAAGCGAAAGTCGGCCGCTTAACCAACTAAGCCACCCAGGTGCCCCATGCAAAAGATATTTCTAACAGTGCTAGATGCTGGAAAGAATCAGAGGCGTACGGTTTCAGTGGACACATTGCTCACCAGCGTGCACAGTGTGGTACACACTCCTAAAAGAAACATGCACAAAAATTGTTGGTAACAGTGGTGTGGGAGTGAATTAAGTCAGATCATCGATTTCAGTTAAACACTGTACTTAACACTTTGTGCTGCATGTTATACACTCTATATACGAACATGCTCAAAAGGTGATTCTGGCAATGCTGGCTCCATGAATGACTCAGTGTGCTGCTATTTCCAAATAAGAAGACAGAAGACATTTTAAAAAATCACAGTTGAAGTGAAATCTGGCCATGTGTAGCAACATGGATGGACCTTGAGGGTGTTATGCTGAGCGAAATAAGTCAGGCAGAGAAGGACAAATATCATATGTTTGCACGTATAGGAGGATTAGGAGGAACTTGACGGAGGAACAAGGGGGAGAAGAAGGGCGGAAATGGTGGGGGAAAGGGAGAGAGGCAAACCATGAGAGACTCTTGAATGCTGACAAAAACTGAGGACTGATGGATGTGGGGGGGAGGGAGGGATGGGCATGGAGGAGGACACTTGTGGGGATGAGCACTGAGTGTTATGTGGAAACTAATTTGACAATAAACTATTTGTAAAAAACAAATGAGAAAAAAAAAGAAAAGATAATACTGCTTATGTATGAGTATGAGAGAATTACTTTACTTGTCTGTAGTAACACTGATTAAATTGAAATGTCAGAGCTAATGTTACAGTTAATAAATGTTATACATATTAAAAAAAAATCACAGTTGAAGAAGACAATAACCAATATAAAACTATGCTAGAGGAAGCGAAGAGTAGATTAGGAGATGCAAAAATGAAACAAAGTGAACAACAACAAAAAAACCCAGCCGTGAACTGGAAGACAGGATAATAGAAAGCACCCAAGCTGAGGAGCAAAAAAGAAAAAGAATTTTTAAAAGGAGGATAAGTAAAGGAATCTTTGGGACAGAATCAGGCAAATAAACATTCATGCTATAGTGGTCCAAAAAAAATAATGTTTGGCTATTGAATTTTATTGCTTGTTTATTTGTCTGCGTTCACACCCACAGAACATTAGGACCTTTTACTGCATACCGGTTTCTACATATTTGACCATTCCATCTCCATAATTTGCATGATACCAAGCCCTACTAGTCTCAACAAGTGCTTCTGAAACAACCAGATAGTTGAATGGATGGATGGATAGTTTGGATAGATGGATAGTTGTATAGATGATGGATGGATGGATGGATGAAATAGTTTATATGATTAAAGATCGTTGAGGTGTAGTATATTTAAAAGGCAGAAACAAAATGTGTTTGTAAAGTAGATGATAAAGACAATGTGATTTTTTTCACTGTAGGTCAAGCCTTTCTTTTTGAGATCCTGCTATTTCTCTTCTCAGCTTTTCACTGTCTTAATACAGGAAAATATTTTCTATTATCACTCCTCCATGATCTGGCTCTTCATTTGCAATCCAGTAATATCCATAAGGTCAAAAACCTATGATTTCAATCCAATATCATTTCCATAGAGAACGACTGAATGCTGAAACTTCTTCAATAGGAGAGCACAGGCATATCTCCTGGAAGACTTGCAGGCTGACTGACCTGAAGTGAAATAGCTATTTTGAGCCTGTCCAGTGTTGCTGAAATTATAACTTCCCTTGCCAACTATTCAGGCAAGAGATGTGAGGAAAGCCACAAAAGGAGCTGTGGGGAAGTGGAACGAGGAAGTAAGAGAGAGAAGGGGTTGAAAAGCCTATTAGCTACTTTATAGTAAAACCCAGAAAAAGTGAGCACTAAGGGGAATGTGGATTTTATCCCTCCAGGAATTCTATTTAGACCACAGGGAATTAACCTTGACTGTAATTAGGCCCCTGAGAGCAATGGCCCTTTCACAGAACATTCAGAGACCTCTGCTTTGTTTAGGCACCACGTGTGGATGGAACTTCCTGTTTGCACAGAGAGCAGCATAAAGCCTAGTTGCTCTGAGGAATGTCTGGGACCAGACCAGTTGCAAGGGAGCAGGGTACAATACAGTCAGGTCTCCTGGGGGCCCTTTCCCTGCAACATGGGGAAGAACAAACCCCTTCATCCAAATCTTATTCTTCTCCTCCTTCTGATCTTCCTGCTTGCAGATGCCTCCATCTCTGGAAAACCGTGAGTTTCACACAGAACATAAAGAATCCTTTCCTTAAAAGAGAATCCTCTCTGATTCTCCTTTATATGATTCATTGTCTTTCCCACGAAACTGTGACCTTCTTATCTCTAAAGTCTCTTCCAAAGATGCGATTTCATAAATCTGGTTTATTCACTCTTTACTTACTCTGAACTAATCTTCAACTCTCCATATCTCTGAATTTCTAAATTTTCTAAGCATAGATATACAAAGACTTTCTAAGGGGCTTTGGGAATTGATGCTTTCAAAGGAATCAATTTCCAGATCCTCGCATTCAGACTGATTTGCTTGGGACCACACTATTTATCCTTCATTGCTTCCCCTTTCTTAATTGTCCATCTTCCACTTTATAAAAGGAAGACAAAAAAAGAAGAAGAAACAGAAGAAAAAAAGGCAAACCTCTCCTTCAATTATATGTTACCTTGGAGCACTATCCTGGGGTAAAATAATCTGCAGGGTGCCAAGTAAAAGAATGATTTGAAATATTGATGTTGATGTTGTGAAAGCAAAGGATTCTAATGATGAAGGAGAAAATTCCTTTGCAGATTATGTGATGATGAATTCTTTGTTTCGACAAAGTTGAGGTAGATACAAAGAAAATACCAGCTGATCGGTGATTGGAAGCAATTCTTGAGAATAGGTACTGGGTGAATTTTGGCATGTGGTGCAGGAGATGCAAGAACTGGTAACAACGATATAATTGTTTTATCTGTACTTTATTTACTTTTATGTAAACAATGTTTCATGGCACTCACAGTTACACAAATGAAAAATAGCAACACAATTAATGTTAAGCCTTTTTCAGTTCTTGCTATTAAGGAATAGCCATCTGTGGATACACAGAAATGGCTCATTGTTCTTATCAAATATGTGTTTTAAAAATATTTTGATTTGATATCTAATATGTGTGAGTTACAATTCATAATACATTCATATTCTTTTGATCAGTTGTATCCTAGTAAGACTTTTAAAAATAATTCAGTCCGGGGCGCCTGGGTGGCTTAGTCGGTTAAGCGTCCGACTTTCGCTTAGGTCATGATCTCGCGGTTCATGGGTTCGAGCCCCGCGTCCGGCTCTGTGCTGACTGCCAGCTCAGAGCCTGGAGCCTGTTTCAGCCTGTGACTCCCTCTCTCTCTGACCCTCCCCTGCTCACGCCTTCTCTCTCTCTCTCCTAGAAAAAAAAAAAATTCAGTCCAGAAGAAAATGGTTAACATTTACAATTTTTTGGTCACATAAAGAGTTAAAGTTAAATTAAGCACCCTTATACAGTATTATATATATACATACTAGCATATGTGTATCTATCTATCATCTATCTATCTATCTATCTATACATACATATATAGTTAATAAAGAAGCAAGAATTATCCATGCACATAGTTTGAAGCATAAAAATCTTAGGATAAACTTCTATGTAGTAAGTGGCCTTGGTAATTCAAGTTTAAGGAGGAAAACAGAAAGACGTTAAATGTCTGATCATTACAGAAAAGACATTGTGACATATTTTTTAAATAGGTCATATTTGGTATCTTGTCTCTGATATTTAAGAACCCACCAAAAACTTATAGGAGACTAATATAAGCTTTAACTTTAAAAATGTCATCGAAAATAGTATCTTTTGCTATTATTTAAACTTATGATAAAGATATAGATGTTTACTTGAAAATATATAAGGAATGTGTAGTGTCTAAAACTTGTTTTAGGAATCCTGTGAGCAAAAATGTTTGAAAACTACATAGCCAATTAAACTATATATGAGGGTATTGGCAAAGTCTCCTTTCTGCTCATGAGTTATCTTGACCCAAAATTCAATCACTAGATAGCCATTTGTGGGTGGAACCATTCATTGTATAGCTAAGAATTGAAAGGCAAATATTTAAAATGCAAATAGCCAGAGCTAGGTAACAGGAAGATAATGTTAGTTGCTGAGCCTTTAACTTTAGATAACCTTAGAGCTGAGCCTTTAAACTAATGACTCTCTTTCTTTGAGCCTCAGATTCCATATCTATAAAGTGGAAGCAAGTATTTTCCACCCTATTTTCACAGGGTTGTTGAATATATACATCCAGTGAAAGTACTGCTGATTGATTGGTCCTTGTAATATCTCCCTGAGACTTTGCTTGCTTTTTACAACAATCCTAGTGCAAAACAGATTCACAACAAGATAAGTATAAACAGCATATTTTTTCTTTGAATTCAGATGCATGCATACTGTGTTCCCGAGAGTGAGGCATCCCAGCAAATTTTAGACTATTTAAGGCTCACACAAGTAAAATGTTCCCTGCAATGGCATTGATGATGGAAGGGGGAATAATTCTCACACACGCCATTCAACAGCAGAAATCAATTTCATGTTCATCAATCTGTCGTCTCATGGTATAGAACTAATGATAGTAACAATAATTGTGATGGAAAATAATGCTGGTAATAACAGTGTCTCCCCTCCTACACTCTCCTCTAACTGGACTCCCCCATTCCCAGGCAGTACCTGGCACTGGTCCCCTCCCTGCTCCACATGGAGACCCCCGAGAAGGGCTGCTTCCTTCTGAGCTACCTCAATGAGACAGTGACTGTAAGTGCTTCCTTGCAGTCCCTTAGGGAATTCCAGTGGCTCTTCCCTGACCTCGTGGTGGAGAAGGATATTCCACTGCGTCTCCTTCACTGTGAGTATGCCTATTTGACTTACTATACTTGATTCTACTGGTTAGGGTCATAGGCATCTAGAATTCAGTCAAGATAAAGCTTTGAGAGCCTGGAAAAGACTTCAGAAAGAAATCTAAATGTAACAACTATGCACAGGAATTAAGAAACAATGTGTAGGGGCTCCTGGGTAGCTCAGTCAGTTAAGCAACCTGAGCCGACTTCAGCTCAGGTCATATCTCACAGTTTGTGAGTTTGAACTATGCGTTGGGCTCTGCACTGACAGCTCAGAGCCTGGAGCCTGCTTATGATTCTGTGTCTCCCTCTCTCTCTGCCTCTCCCCTGCTCATGCTCTGTCTCTCTGTCTCTCAAAAATAAATAAATGTTAAAAAAATTTTTTTAAAAAGAAGCAATATGTGAATTTCCAACCATGGGAGTCAAATACTTATAAGCCTATTAAAAATCAACTTAATGATCCAAAAAAAATTTCTATTAGCCAGGAGAGGGAAAAAACAATATGCACTAGACAAAGGTAAATTATGACTTCTTCTTAAAATTAAAATGGAAAAAATATTACAAAGGCAAACTAGACAAATGCAGGATGTAAGCCTCCAAGTGGTGGTCTGTCAGGAACATATCACCCCTTATTAAAGAATGAAAATTCTAGAAATTACTATAACCAAATATCCAATTTCTTCAGAGTTGCCCATATGTGAAATGCTTATAGCCTATGGCCAATAAAATATGGTAGTTTTCTTTCCCATAGCCTTAAATATACTTCTACCATTCCCTTCTAGTACATAACATCAACTTGGTAAAGTTCAGTATACAATTGAATCAGGACTATATTGGCTTGTCTATATGGAGATGTGAGTCTCACTTAGAACCTCTTTTACTAATATATTTTCCTCCATCTTCTGTTCTGTCTCTGCATTTATAAAATGACAGAAGTAATTCCTGTCCATGGCAACTTCCTCTGATGACAATCAGGGGGGCACAGTGAATCTAAGGGGCCAGATCTCCAGGGAGAAGAGGAACAGGTGGTGGAGGAGGAAACATGGGAGACTGAATGGGGTCTTAGGGTCTGTCTTATATTTCAGGTCCCAAGATCTCCATCCAATGAGGAGGTCATGCTCCTCACTGTCCACGTGAAAGAACCAACCCAAGAATTCAAGAGGCAGACCACAGTGGTGGTTAAAAACAAAGAGAATGTGGTCTTCATCCAGACAGACAAACCCATCTACAAATCAGGGCAGACAGGTATGAAGAGGCCCTACAGTTAGAACAACTCCAAAAAGAAAAAATCTTCTTCCCTTGCATATTCCCCAGTCAAAAGCCCTGTAATTCTGGTTCTTTAATAGTTTGTCTTACTGGCCCAAAAGCCTGATTTCAGGTTTCTGGGACTCATGGAAAATATTTCTGTTTCAGTGAAATTTCGTGTTGTCTCATTGGATGAAAATTTTCACCCCCTGAATGAGTTGGTGAGTCTCCAAATATCTATATAAAATCATTGTTATCTGTATAAACAATCTGGAAGTCTGGTTTTGGTGTTAGAGGAGGACCAGGGAGAGGAAGAATCTGGTATCACTAGTAATGATTTTTGGCATTACGATAGTGAGAGATCCTCATTTAAACCAAAACCCCAGCTCAAGAGAGTAGCTAATTCTTTCCATCTTGATACTGGTACTTAAACAGATGTCATACAATTAAACTTATTCTTTATAAAGTTCTCGGGCAAATTAGAGAGAGATGTTAAATAATAGACCCACTTACACCATCAAATAACTTAAATTCAAATACCTTCTCAAAGAATTAGAATTTTTCTGAACATACCTACCAAAACCTCCTTATAAAGGTAGAGTGGAATCAGTCTTTGTTCCTTGAAACTAACATTCGATATTTATAAGAAACAACTCTTTCAGGTTTCATACAGATATCAAACAAAAGAGTCTTAGCTTTTCTCTCCCAAACTCACCACTCCACCACATCTTCTTGTCTCAGAGGTGATTCCTTTCTTCTAATCCCTTGCACAAAAGATTCTCACACAATCCTTGCTTCCTTTCTTGGACACTCACATCCACTACATCAGAAAATCATGTTAGCTTGAAATATATCCAGACTATTTCTATTTCTTACCACTTGGATTGCCACAATCTCATCCTGGCCAATATCACTTCTTTTTTTTAAAATTTAATTTATTTTGAGAGAGAGAGAATGAGCAGGGGAGAGGCAGAGAGTAGAAGGGACAGGGGATCCAAAGCAGGCTCTGTACTGACAGCAGAGAGCCCAATGCAGGGCTCAAACTCATGAACCATGAGGTCATGACCTAAGCCAAAGTTGGAAGCTCAACCAACTGAGCCACCCAGGTGCCCCATGCCCAATATCACTTCTAAAAAAGACTATCTCAGTAACCTTGAAGCTGGTCTAGTTTCTACTCTCACAACTCCACTTAAAACAAATACCTCGTCTATCACCGTAACAGCCTTACTCTGCTTCATTTTTTCTTCTTGGTATTTCACTACCTGATATATAAATCAGGTGTGTGAATGTGTGTGTATATATATGCTTATCATATATATTCTTTATATTTCAGATACATGATTGATATATCATTGATATATATCTTAAATACATAAGTATTAAATATCAAACCAGTATCAATATAAAAATATAAATATATAAATATTAAGTATATATATATATAATATGTATCTTGGGGCACCTGGGTGGCTCAGTTGGTTAAGCGTCCGACTTTGGCTTAGGTCATGATCTCACAGTTTGTGGGTTGGAGCCCTGTTCTGTGTTGACAGCTCAGAGCCTGGAGCCTGCTTTGGATTCTGTGTCTCCTTCTCTCTCTGCCCCTCCCCTGCTCCTGCTCTCTCTGTCTCTCAAAAGTAAATAAACTTAAAAAATAAAGTTTTTAAAATAGCATCTCTCCAGTGTGTGTGTGTGTGTGTGTGTGTTTTGTGCATATGTATCCATCCCTATTAGAATGCAAACTCCCTGAGAGTAGATATATTGTTCTTTTGTGCATTGCTCTACTCCCAGCCCCTAGAATGATGCACAGTAAGCACATGGTAAGCACTTAATAAATATTATGTTTTTTAATGACTAAATATTGGGACACCTGAAAGGCTCAGTCAGTTGAGCACTTGACTTCAGATCAGGTCATGAGGCTCAGGTTATGATCTCCCAGTTAGTGAATTCAAGCCCTGCATCAGGCTGACTGCTGTCAGTGCACGGCCTTCTTTGGATCCTCTGTCCCTCTTTCTCTGTCCCACTCAGCTTGCACTCTCTCAAAAATAAACATAAAAAAAACCCAAATGACTAAATATTGATAGTGGAGGGGCTATTCCTCTTCTTTATTCTTAGAACTAAGAAATCTTTGACCATCTCAATATTTGGATCTGAGTACAGTTACTTATAATTTTGTTAGGATTTATTTCTTAATCTGTCAAATTTCATAACAAAGGAGTATTCCTCACTGGATGCTGTAAGCATTTAAGTAACGTCAGTAAATCCTATTCTAATGAACAGCTGTGCACGTATCTATGTTTTGCTGATAGCTTGATAAGTTCTCAAGATTATTTATTAATTGCTTAAAATAGATTAATTAAGAGTTTTATAAAACTTACTCTGGAATTTTTCTGCTTTACCATAGAGAGAGTTATTCTGCATAAAAATGTCTTGCTTATAAATCAGAATCAAGAATATTTGAAAATAATTCTACATTCCTTTATTTCTCTTTTGTCTTTCAGATTCTGCTAATATTCATTCAGGTAAGCAACAGGAAACATTCCATAATCGGAATTAAATGTTCATATTTAAGAGGCTCTTATAATATACCACAAACTTGTCGTTAAGGGATAAGCCTCTGAGTTCACATAGCACCAGATGATTCTAACTCATCTTCCCTCCCCTCCCTTCACCACCACCCCATTGGTTGTCTTTGTGGATAACAGGGGTTGCCATAGATTTCTTTTATTGTCTCTAATGTTCTAGGCTTGTTTGTAAATTACAATTGCTGTATCCTTAGGACCCGAAAGGAAATCGCATCATGCAATGGCAGAAAGTCCAGTTAGAGAATGGTCTAAAGCAATTGGCCTTTCCCCTCTCATCTGAGCCCATTCAGGGCTCCTAGGTAGTACAGAAGGAATCCGGTGGAAAAACAGATCACTCCTTCACCGTGGAGGAATTTGGTATGCATAATGGAAAGTCACGGCGCATTTTCTTCATATTGAAAGTTCTAGAGCCTGGAGTTTGAGCTTCTTTAGCGGCCTTTCATCTCCTCTATGTGAGGTTAGGTTTTGAGTAGAATTGGTTATATCTAACCCCAATGAGACTATTGATGATCTGTGAATAGGACTTTGTATGGCTTGGTTATTTTTTGTAATAATTTCTAATCTCAAAAGAATGTAAAGTCTTTGTTTAGGAGAAGTCTTCCATAATTCATTAAGGTTGCAGTGATCTGTCTCACTCCTCCAATCAGAATATCCATTGGATAGTAAGGTGGTTGTATTGAAGAGGATAGCTAACTTTTGAGAACCCTAAATACTGTTAGGGAATTGTTACAGAGAAACTGAAAAATACTAATTCCCCCGAAGCTGAGAAACAATCACCGACTTCCTTTATTTCCAATGAACAGTGCTTCCCAAGTTTGAACTACAAGTAACAATGCCAAACATAATCACTATCTTGGAAGAAGAGGTGAATGTGTCTGTATGCGGCCTGTGAGTTTATTTATTTATTTTTTGAGAGAATTATTTAAAGGAGACTCACCATGGGACACCTGGGTGGTTCAGTCAGTTAAGAATCTGACTCTTGATTTCAACTCAGGCCATGATCTTGCAGTTCCTGAGTTAGACCCCCATGTCCAGGTCCATGCTGACAGCAGGGAGGATTCTCTCTCTGCCTCTCTCTTCTGCCCCTCCCTCACTCATGTGTTCTCGCTCTCTCTCTCTCTTTCTCTCTCTCTCTCTCTCAAATAAACTTAAGGAAAAAAGACTCACCATTTGGGATATTTTGAATCATTTCTGTAGGAGCAGTGGGAACACAAATACTTTAAGCACATAGAATCATCCCATCTCTAGAACCTTCCTTTCCTGTTGCTTCTCTATCTTTCCTTCTTATCTTCTTTCAGGTCCTTACCAGCATTATCATAACTATCACGGGGCAAGCAACTGTTCCTAGAGAACCTATCTATTAGGACTGATTCTGAAACTGACAAAGCTACACACACACACGCCCGCAAATGGGGTAGTGTTGAAGGGTAGTAACTTTCCTTTTCCCAGGTTGTAGAGGAAATTTTCTCATCAACAGATCATTTACCTGACCTTGCATACATAGTGGAAAGAAAAGCTTTGATTCAGAATTTGTAGAGATAGGCGTATTCCCAAGACCGCAGCTGAGTCTTCGGCCTACCCAAGGCACGTCGCAGTTCCCCTCAGCACCGCCATTTTTACTGATGGGACTGGACACGATATCTCAGTTTGGTCCTTTCTAATCTTGAAAATTCATGTTTCTAAAATCTTGCGCCCCATTCTCAGTCGTCCATCGGTAGCACTAGCAGAAGGAGCACAGAGGGTAAGGAAACAAGCCCTGGCTAAAGGCCACACACGTAACACACCCACAATTCAGCAGGGTCCCCGCCCCAGCACTGTCTCAGAGTAATCGCCACCAAGTTCCTGATCCCGTATAACTGGTGAGCCAACACTCTTGCAAGTTCCGAATCAGAGGACATTTTAGATACGGAAGGAAACGAATGACCTTGGAAACACATCAACCATCAGTGATATACCTATATGGCACAACCTCATTTTTGTAAAAAGGAAACAAGTGAAGCTCCGTGTAAATAGAGACGGTGACACATCAGAAGAGGATGATAGAAGGATACCCAGTTTGTATTCCTAGGAAGAATTGAGGGTATTTTCTCTCTTTTTTGTTTTGTTGGTATTCTCTCTCTCTCTCTCTCTTCCTCTCTCTCTCTTTCTCCTTCTCTCTCTCTCCCCCAAGAACAGCTGTAGCTTTGGTAATAGGAAATGCATCTTTTTAAAAACAAAAGTAAAAATTAAGGGGAAAAGAGACACGATCAAAGAAGACTGTCGTAAATTTCAGCATGTCGCACTAAAGATTTTTTTAAAAGGAAGGGTCATTACTTAACGTGCTTGCTCTCGACATTGTGAAGGCTCTGCAGAGATTAGGGGGAAGTACAGAGAGTAAGTACACCATAGCTAAAGGGGGATATAAATAGGTAGAAAATGGAGATGTTCAATGTCTGCTTTGATTCATTTGGCTCTGTGCCTATGACAGATATACATATGGGAAGCCTGTCCAAGGACACATGACTATGAGCATGTGCAGAAAATACAGTAACCCTTCTAACTGCTATAGCGGAGAGTCACAGGCCGTCTGCGAGAAATTCAGTCAACAGGTAGATGGAAAACTCTTCCTTCTAAGGAACTAACAATAGAGACATTGTTGATAAACAGTGAGTTACAACATGGTGCTAACCCTGGAAGAGAGCAATCTATAAGAGAATTCAATGTTAGCCACAGTAATTTGCACATTGGTGATCTAGCACAATAAGAATGATTTCTTTCTTATAATTGGCCACTGTGGGTGTTCTTGGTTCCCTAAGCACCCAGAATAATGGAAGTTGAGAACAATCTCCAAACCTGGCATCCAAAGCTGCCTTGGGCATCTACTTTGATGAAGCCAGAAGGAAAAACATTATACCTGTTAATCATTTTGGCTGGAAAGGGTATAATAGGTTTTGCCTTCTTTCTATGATCAAGAACTTGTCATGTGGCCCCATCGATGTGCCAGGGAGGTAGGAAACACAGTCTTCACATGGGCAGCCACTTCCCAGCAACAGTTGTGTCCTATGGAAGGAGAACTCAACTCTGGGGAAAAGCTAGGTCCCTGTACAGTTAAGATGAGCCACAAATTTTTAAGGCATGCCTATCTCACTAACTTTAGGGAATATCAGATACTAAGAAATATATGTCTCTTATCAACCAGATGCTAATGTGAAATGTAATCATAATTGATCCCTAAAGAATATTTATTGTGTTCTTATCATGAGAAAATTCCTAGGTTATATGGTCCTCCCCCCCAAAAAAAAAATCACACCCAATCAACTGATCACTGACCCATCCAGTATTATGTTTTTATATTTTGCTTTATCCCCTCCTAGCTAAACAGTCAAGGCTGCTTTTCTCAGCTGGTAAAAACCAAGGTCTTTCAGATGAAGAGACAAGGGTATGAAATGAGACTTCAAGTGGAGGCCAAGATCCAAGAAGAAGGAACAGGTCTGAGTATCATGTGGGTATAGGAGAAAAAGCAATGAACACTGATTTATTTCCTTTGCCAAATTATGAATTGAAAGGGAAGTAGTAACATAGGAAGTTCAGGGGGACCATCCTTCCAGAAAGGAATTTATTTTCTTTCTTTTTTTTTCCTCCAGGGGTTGAATTAACTGGAAAAGGATCCAGTGAAATAACAAGAACCATAACCAAACTCTCATTTGTGCAAGTGGACCCATACTTTAGACAAGGGATCCCCTACTTTGGGCAGGTGGAGTATTTTCTAATTCACAAATCAAATTATGTACTATCATTTAAACATAACGGAGTCTGCTAAACCAGACCTGCTTAATACTGTCTATTGATTAATATAACCAAAGGTATAAAACCACATAAAGAATCAATCTTTCCCTCTATAAATTTGTATATTAAATCTATAAAATCATTCTAATGCACCATCAAAATTAGAAGGTTTATTTTCCCACTTTTTGAACAGCATTGTGTGATGTCACTCAATCTTTTCATGGTTTACAGGTAGTGTCATATTTTTTTTAAATGTTTTATTATTTCTAGGAGAGAGAGAGAGAGAGAGACAGCGTGAGCAGGGGAGGGTCAGAGAGAGAGGGAGTCACAGACTGAAACAGGCTCCAGGCTCTGAGCTGGCAGTCAGCACAGAGCCCGACGCGGGGCTGGAACCCACGAACCGCGAGATCATGACCCAAGCGAAAGTCGGATGCTTAACCGACTAAGCCACCCAGGCGCCCCAGGTAGTGTCATATTTTTATATTTTCTCACAAGAATCTCAGAATTCCTGGTGGTCACTTACATTATCCTTCTAACACTAACTTTATATGGTAATGAGTGGGTAGGTGGCTTTAATCTTTATTTTGAAGTATAAAAGATTCTATTGTACCTAGTGTTTCTTTCATGGGTATTGTAGTTATGTTACTTTCTCTATACTAGCAAGAATTTATTAAAAACCAGTACACATAAGGGTCAAATACTGCTATTTAAGATTTCCAGATTCTAAAAAATATAAATTTTCTTATGTATCTATGAAAAATCTTGTATTGTTACTTTTCTATTATAAGCAGATATATGCAAATGGATCTTTCTGACTCCAGAAGTCTGAGACGGCAGTTGTATATAGGCACCAATGTGTAATTACTGTATATCATGTTCTTAATGGCAATGTTATAAAGTTTCAGGTGTGGAGACTGTAAAAGACAGAGGACTAGACCCCATTAAGAAGTGGTGGAGTATGTTTTAGGATGTTTTGATTATGTTATGACAGCAAACAATTTAAGAAACGTTAGTCACTTCCTAAAATGAATAGTCTACTTATTTTTAATTTCTCAGAGGTATACTGTACTTTTTTTTTTTTTTTTTTGGATTTCATTCCTACTAAATAACTACCCCATTAGTCATATGACTCTCTGATCAAGAGAATCAGAATTTTGTACCTACCCTTGACTTTGTACACATGGCCAACATTTCATCGGCAAACTCAGATCTTAGTTGCATACACTGACCCAAGTCTTTGAACTACGCACTTCAACCAAAAGTAGTTTCTACTGAAAAAGAACCATCCTCTTTGCAATCTTAACAGGACTGAGTTAAACATCAGCTGAGTTAAATATTAGCAGTAATTTGTCTTTAGGCCCTTTTTTAATAATACGATTCTCCTCAATTTTGCATTTTTCCCATAGGATGTGCCTCATACTATCTGCCTACCTTCCAAAGGTTTGACAATCTAGACTGAGAAGCAGATATATAAAAACCAACTAGAAAAGTACATGGGATAATGTATTGGCAGTTGCTAACCTGTGCACTTATACTTCAGAACACCAATCCATAAAAACTTAACAGTCACAAAGTATGTGTTTGGGGTTCAATTAAATTTGGCTAAAAGGTTACAAATTTTCATTACGATCTGACTCTTGTGTTCCGTGACTCCCCAAGGGTTCTAAATAATACACAGCCTTTCTAAAATATCCAGAGAATACATTTTGTAGGTCATCCCTATCTTCATCTCCACGATTCTCTATCCCTTTATGCTGCTTTATCGTTTGTCTTGGGATTGATCACTACTAAGAATGTATATATCAGTTATGCACTTATTTAACATCTGTCTCTTTTACTAGACGGTAAGCTCTATCTATGATGGCAGGAACTTTGTTTTGGTCACTGCAATAGCTTCAATGTCTGGAACCATGTCCAACATATAGGACGTACTCAGTAAATATTTGTGATAAAATGAGTGTTTGGCGACTACTGGGGAGTTAACCGTATAACTGATCCACAGATTTTAATCTTCAGGTGCAACTAGTGGATGGGAAAGGTGTCCCCATGCCAAACGAACTCATCTTCATCACAGCAGATGAAGCTAACTATAACTCCAATGCATCACTGATGAGCATGGACTGGTACAGTTTTCAATTGATCCTACCGGTGTGACGGGCACCTCACTCACTGTCAGGGTAAGTTGGAAGAGAAGTCACCAGCGGCATGAAATAGCCTTGGAAATAAGGTTGCAGTCTAGAAGGGATAAAACTTCTGAGTAGTGTTTAGTCCTATGGAAATGAAATACAAAAAAAAAAAAAAAAAAGAAATTACAAGTCAATTTTTAAGGTCAACTTTGAAAACAGTTATTTAAAAGGAGGCAGTATCGTGTTGTGGTTAAAAGCATAGGTTCTGTTTGTGCACTGTTGCTAATGTAAAATGGTGTGGCCACTACGGAAAACAGCATGACATTTCCTCCAAAAATTAAAACTAGAATCACCGTAGGATCCAGTAATCTCATTCTGGGTGTATTTTCAAAAGAACTGGAAGCGGAGTCTCAAAGAGATAGTTGCACACACATGCTTATAACAGCACTACTCACATTGGCCAAGAAGGGAAAGCAACTTAAATATCCACCAACAGGTGAACGGATAAACAAAAGGTGGTCTATACATACAGTGGAACAGCATCAGCTTTAAAAAGAAAGGAAATCTGTCACATGCTACAATGAGCCCTGATGATATTATGCTAAGTGAAATGGCCCATTACCAAAAACAACAATGACATGCACACACAAACTGTACAATTCCATTCACATGAGGTACCTGAAATAGTCAAGTCATAGGAACAGAAAGTACACTGGTGGAAGGTACACTGCAGAGGAGAAATGAGGAATTGTTGTTTATTGGCTTCAGTTTTACAAGATGAAAATGTTGTGGAGATCTGCTGCACACTGCTTACCTCCAGCAATCTATTCACTTAAAAATAACTACGATGTTAATTTTTGGTACGTGTCTTTTCCCCAATTAAAAAGAAAATGTCTAAAGGAAAGAAAAGAAAAAAGAAGATAAGAAAAGTGTAAATTCCAGAATCAGATCAATTATATTAAAATCCTGGCTTAACTCTCTATTAAGAGAAAATAACTAAAAATGTCTATATTTTATTTCCTTATCTGTAAAGTGGGTACAATATTAGTACCTCTTCCTGGGGTTGTTGTGAGAATTAAATAAGATGATATATTTTTAAAAACTTATTTTCTTTTCAACTTTTTATTTAAATTCTAGTTAGCTCACATACAGTGCAGTATTGGTTTCAGGAATAGAATTCAGTGATTCATCACTTCCGTAAATACCCTGTGCTCCCCACAACTAGTGCCCCTCTTTATGCCATCACCCATCTAGTCCATCCCCCATTCACCTCTCTCCCTCAATCCTCAGTTTGTTCTCTATCACTAAGAATCTGTTATGGTTTCTTTCCCTCTCTCTCTATTTTTTTTCCTTCCCATATACTTAATCTGTTTTATTTCCTAAATTCCACATATGAGCGAAATCATATGGTATTTGTCTTTCTCTGTCTGACTTATTTCACTTAGCATAAGCACATCTTCTTTATCCATTCATCAGTGGATGGACATTTGGGCTCTTTCCATAATTTGGCGAATGTTGATAGTGTTGCTCTAAACATTGGGGTGCATGTGCCCCTTCGAATGAGATAATACATTTTGAAGCTAACAAGAATTTAAATAAAAACTTGAAACACACAAAAAAAGATGTGTGTGGAGAGAAACAAGAGGAAAAACCTAGTAACCTAAATTGAGTCATCCTGAAATAAAGACGGGGACTGCCAAAAAAATGAGAGTTGATAGTATGAGGCTGAGGGCTTTGAGAAAATGCTTGTTATATATAAATTACAGAAACAGAAAACACTGTGTTAAGTCAAAGTCTCTAGATGAAGAAATAGTGAAACTACCATAAAATGCCATTGCACAGATTATGATTTACTTCTATTCACAAGGAACCCAAAGCCCAGTAGTATAGAGAAATAGGAGGTAATGAAAACACTATTGTAACTTTTAATGGAAAGCAGGTTGGGGTACACTTAGCACATGGGAACTTTGTAGAATTCACCGGATGACATGACTGTTCTCAGGCGTAAAGAAGTGGGTTTTTGCATTAATACGTTAAAGAAAATGAGGTAGGTCTAGAGATCAGAATCAAAAGGTGATTTGCATTCAAGGAAGAATGTAGATCTTGTTTCATCGAGCAATAAAATTAATGAAACAAGTATGAAATTTAAAAAGTAAGCTTACAGACTTTAAGAAAAAAAAAACAGGAGAAACAAAATTTGATAAAGTTTTTTTTCTTTTACGAAAGAAAATGCAATCAACCCAAATTGCTTTTCAAATACTAGGTCCCTAGATAAGCAAAGGAAGACATTATTATGTATGTAATATATTCATTTTTATAGTAAGAATAGAATCCTTAACCTATTTTTAGGGATCTCTCATTTTAAAAGTAATGTCCTTCCGGGGGCACCTGGGTGGTTCAGTTGGCTAAGCACCTGACTTTGGCTCAGGTCATGATCTCACCATTTTTTAGTTCAAGCCCCGCATCGGGCTTTTGCTGACAGCGAGCCTGGAGCCTGCTTCTGATTCTGTGTCTCCCTCTCTCTCTGCCCCTCCCCCACTCATGCTCTGTCTCTCTCACTCTCAAAAATTAATAAACATTAAAAAAAAATTTAAATAATATCCTTTAGTTATCAGGGTGTTGGGACTAAATGTGATACTTAATTTCTTTTTTTTTTTTAACAGTTAATGTGTTATTTTGAAATAAAAATAGAAAAAATATACCTAGGAGCGCCTGGGTGGCTAAGTCCATTAGGCCTCTGACTTCGGCTCAGGTCATGATCTCACGGTTTGTGGGTTTGAGCCCCGCATCAGGTTCTGTGCTGACAGCTAGCTCAGAACCCAGATCCTGTTTCAGATTCTGTGTCTCCCTCTCTCTCTCTAACCCTCCCCTGCTCTCTCTCAGAAATAAATAAAAAATAATTAAAAATTTAAAAAATTAAAAAAAGAAAAATATACTTATAAAAAAGGTAATATACATTAAGGCACTTAGTAAGCCCCCTTTAACTTGAATATAATTATTATTACTGTAAAAGCCCATCTTAACATCACTAGCATTAAGGGTTTTGGGGTGGTTTTATTTTTAGAGGAAGAGAGAGACAGAGACAGAGCAAGGAGGGCAGAGGCAGAGAGAGAGAGAGAGAGAGAGAGAATCCCAAGCAGGTCTCCCCCATGAGTGCAGAGCCCAATGCAGGGCTCAAACACACAAACCCTAAGATCGTGACCTGAGCAGAAACCAAGAGCCCGTCGCTTAACCGACTGAGCCCCCCACCCATTAACATGACTAGTAGCATTTAGTTTCAAGTGTATACACTCTATAAATTATTGTTCTTCACGACAGGGATGTCCACTCTCACCACTGTTGTTTAACATAGTGCTGGAAGTCCTAGCATCAGCCATCAGACAACAAAAGGAAATAAAGGGCATCAGAATTGGCAAAGAGGAAGTCAAACTTTCACTCTTCGCAGATGACATGATACTCTACATAGAAAACCCGACAGACTCCACCAGAAGCCTACTAGAACTGATCCAAGAATTCAGCCAAGTTGCAGGGTACAAAATCAACGTACAGAAATCGGTTGCATTTTTATACACCAACAATGAAGCAACAGAAAGAGAAATCAAGAAACTGATCCCATTCACAATTGCACAAAAAACCATAAAATACCTCGGAATAAACCTAACCAAGGATACAAGAGATCTGTATGATGAAAACTATAGAAAACTTATGAAGGAAATTGAAGAAGACACAAAGAAATGGAAAAACATTCCATGCTCATGGATAGGAAGAATAAATATAGTTAAGATGTCATTACTACCTAAAGCACTCTACACATTCAATGCAATTCCAATCAAAATTGCACCAGCATACTTCTCAAAACTAGAACAAACTATCCAAAAATTTGTATGGAACCACAAAAGACCCCGAATAGCCAAAGTAATACTGAAAAATAAAACCAAAACGGGAGGTATCACCATCCCAGACTTCAGCCTCTACTACAAAGCTGTCATCCTCAAGACAGTATGGTATTGGCACAAAAACAGACACATAGACCAATGGAACAGAATTGAGAACTCAGAAGTGGACCCAAAAGTATACAGCCAACTGATCTTTGACAAAGCAGGAAAGAATATCCAATGGAAAAAAGACAGCCTTTTTAACAGATGGTGTTGGGAGAACTGGACAGCAACATGCAGAAGAATGAAACTAGATCATTTTCTCACACCATGCACAAAAATCAACTCAAAATGGATAAAGGACCTGAACGTGAGACAGGAAACTATCAACACCCTAGAGGAGAAAGCAGGAAACAACCTCCTTGACCTCCACCGCAGCAACTTCTTACTTGACACATCCCCAAAAGCAAGGGAATCGAGAGCAAAAATAAACTGTTGGGACCTCATCAAGATTAAAAGCTTCTGCACAGCCAAGGAAACAACCCAGAAAATTAATAGGCAACCAACGGAATGGGAAAAGATAGTTGCAAATGACATATCAGATAAAGGGTTAATATCCAGAATCTATAAGGAACTCACCAAACTCCACGCCCGAAAAACAAACAACCCAGTGAAGAAATGGGCAGAAGACATGAACAGACACTTCTCCAAAGAGGACATCCAGATGGCCAACAGACACATGAAACGATGCTCAGCATCCCTCCTCATCAGGGAAATACAAATCAAAACCACACTGAGATACCACCTCACGCCAGTCAGAGTGGCTAAAATGAGCAAATCAGAGAACTCTAGATGCTGGCGAGGATGTGGAGAAACGGGCACCCTCCTGCACTGTTGGTGGGAATGTAAACTGGTACAGCCCCTCTGGAAAACAGTGTGGAGGTTCCTCAGGAAACTAACAATAGAACTCCCTTATGACCCAGCAATAGCACTGCTAGGAATTTACCCAAGGGATACAGAAATGCTGAGGCATAGGAGCACATGTACCCCAATGTTCATAGCAGCACTCTCCACAATAGCTAAAACATGGAAAGAGCCTAAGTGTCCATCAACAGATGAATGGATCAAGAAGATGTGGTTTATCTATACCATGGAATACTACATGGCAATGAGAAACAATGAAATCTGGCCATGTGTAGCAACATGGATGGACCTTGAGGGTGTTATGCTGAGCGAAATAAGTCAGGCAGAGAAGGACAAATACCATATGTTTGCACGTATAGGAGGATTAGGAGGAACTTGACGGAGGACCAAGGGGGAGAAGAAGGGGGGAAATGGTGGGGGAAAGGGAGAGAGGCAAACCATGAGAGACTCTTGAATGCTGACAAAAACTGAGGACTGATGGATGTGGGGGGGAGGGGGGGATGGGCATGAAGGAGGGCACTTTGGGGATGAGCACTGAGTGTTATGTAGAAACTAATTTGACAATAAACTATTTGTAAAAAAAAAAAAAATTATTGTTCTTGCTTTATTTTTCTCCAGATTTTTGTTACACCCATATAATTTGCTTTGTATAGCATAGAGCTCTCTATTCATCAACGGACATGTAAATATATAATTAGAGATGTGTGGATACTCAAATAGTTATTACATAATAATGACAAATAAATGGGATAAATATTTTATTGATTCCACTTCAAATGGATGGCATAAAAGCCCATGTCTCCCAATTAACTAAAAATTGAGCATTCACTCACTTATTTGATCAAGAAGTGTCTTGAAAGTTTTCCATGTGCTAGGCAATGTTCTCATCCTGAAAATAAAAATATTATTTTTAAATACCCCTCTTTGTGATAATTATTTATGCATTAGCACCAAAGCATATATTAAAATATAAATAAAGTGTTTTGCAGACACAAGGATTCATTCGTGCCACTTGGGAGATGAAGATGAGGGTAGAAGAAGCCTGAAAAGAATAAGGAAAGTCTTCTACATGGAGAAAAGTTAAACAACAACCTAAAAGAGACCTATAAACCTTGAGAATCCAGAGCCACAAAAAGCATTTAAAAAAATCAGGCTGTGTGGTTCTGTTGGTTAAGCATCTGACTCTTGATTTTGGCTCAAGTCATGATCTGAAGGGTTGGTGGGTTGGGGCACCACTTCAGGCTCTGTATTGGCAGCTCAGAGCCTGTTTGGGATTCTCTCTCTCTCCCCTGCTCTTGCCCACACGAGCTCTCTCTCTCTCACTCTCCAAATAAATAAACATTTAAAAGGGAAAAGAAAATAATCAGCCACAGACAGCCCAGGAGTGATAGACTTCAGCTAAGTCACCAACTCAACTCTTGAACCCAAAGCTATTGACAGAAAGTGTTCTCAGACCCTTAAGGCTGAAATATGACATGGTCATAATACCTAGTTGAAATCCTTCACAAGTAAGTCTCTGAAATGCAGTTCTTCAGCTTCTGGAGATTATTTAGTCTCCTCAATGAGGTTTTAGAATTCTAGTGTCTCTGTCTGCATAGGTAAAATGGCCCCCAAAAAGTGTCCAGCAAACTAAACAAAGAAAAAGATGCCTGGATGTAGGCCCTACAGAAATGTAAATACCAACCCAAGGAGTCTCTACACTGTAAAGGCCTCCAACAGAGATAAACACTCTCTCGCTTTTTACTGTTGAGTAAAAGATTCCTAGGCACGTGTTAAAGTAGGACGATGAACTAAAGCAGTTTTGTGAGAACACTGATTCTCTCTGACATACAATCTATAAAATTAATAATATTGGGCTTTTTTTCATTCATTAGGTCAAATACAAGGATCACAGTCCCTGTTATGGCTACCAATGGCTGTTGGCAGAAAACAAAGAAGCTTATCACACTGCTAACCTTGTATTCTCCCTAAGCAAGAGTTTTGTCTACCTAGAGCCTATGCCTCAGGAACTGCCCTGCAGCCAAACTCAGACAATCCAAGCACATTACATTCTGAACAGACATGCCCTGCAGAATCTGAAGGAGCTCGTGTTCTATTATCTGGTGAGAAGGAAGGCCACTTCGTTTACCCCTCATAGACAAGAGCCCTTTGTGGGACAAGGAACCAAGAAGCTCTTTAGATGTCACTACTTTAACTTATTATCCATATTCTTTTTGAAAGTTCGGCTTCTTTTAGGGCTAATTATCGCCAGCTGGGGTTCAATAATGCAAGAATGACATGGGGCAAGACATGGGGTATAAGATTTCTGTCAGGTAAACCAAGTTCCTTTTCATTGCCTTTTTTGCAGATAATGGCAAAGGGAAGCATTGTCCGAAGTGGGACCCACGTGCTGCCTGTGAAGCAGGGAGTGAGTGAGTATTCTGACAATTCCACATTTCCACCCCACTCTGGCGTAGTCAGCCTTACACTGCAGAAATACCAGACAGAGTTTCAAAAAAGAGAGATCATTTCCATCTAACTCCAATAAATGAGAAGTTGAGAGGGGAAAGAAATAATGAGGTGCTGTATTTTGGCCCTTCACCAGTATTTCTCTTCTTTTCCTTCAGCACTGTGTTCTGTCCAGATTACTTAAAGTGTTCATGTTGTCATTTTATAATCTATGCATATTCCAAGGTTTCAGACCATAGACATTGATGCAGCTCCTTCTCAAATGGCATTTTAAAATTGTTTTAGGAAATGGAGAGAAGGTAAAATTTTGGAATGTTTTATATATACTCGGTCTTTTGCTGAGTCACTTATGTCTTTATATCATATTTCCCTCTGGAAGATAGTTCTGATTTACGAAAGGTTAAATTGAGTACTTCTGTCATTGAATGGGACTTTCACCATGAACAAATATGGACCAATATAAACCTCTGAAGTTTTCAGCTCTTCTAAGGAAGTCTAAAAGACCACTTATGACAAAACTTATCAGTGACTATCTTTTGATGCTTGTTCATAGCAACACAAAAGCACCATTGTAGACTTACTTATAGAAGCTTACCGCAACATCTAAAAAATCTATATAGGTATCAAAAATAGCTTTCAAAGGAGCACAGTACTCCTCTTAAGAAAAGAAAGAGAATATTTGGTTCATATAGAAAGTTAAAGAAGATTTAAGGATAAACACCATGTGTTAAACTCTCAACTATCGTATCACCGAACTTCTGGTTCTATCTCCCTTCTCTAAAATAAAGTCTAGAGCAAATAATAGCCATGTGGATGTCTCTATACCCTCAGATAGCATCAGAACTTTGTGTAGATTAGCTAAAGCTGAAAATTAGTGTGAAATCATCGTATGATAAGAAAAGAGAGCACTTTGATAAGGTTTGTCCTCAAGCTAGAGTTCTCAGAAGTATAGAATTCTTATAGGTAAACTTTCATCTATTACATCTACTATTTTTTGTACCTATTATATCAACTAATAGAAACTGTCATTAACCAGACCAGACTCCTAAAAATGGCTTTAGGCAACAGAAAGCTTCCATTTCAGCCATGGGGAGATATCTAACCCATACTCACAATTCCTCATTCTCTCCATGCTCCAGTGAAAGGCCACTTTTCCGTGTCAGTCCCTGTGGAGGCAGACATCGCTCTTATTGCTCGATTCCTCATCTACACCATTTTACCCGATGGGGCAGTGGTTGCAGATTCTGCAAAATATAAGACTGAAAACTGTCTGTCCAACAAGGTGGGGTTTTGTTATAAAATTTCAACATTTAAAACTAAAATTTGCTATTATCATTTACTTTTTTCTGCATGTGAACATTGGGGCTAAAAGGGTTAAAATGAATTCTCCAGAGATTTTCAGCAAGGTAATGTCAGAGACACACGAGGGAGCCATGTCACTTAACTCCTAGTTTAAAATTCTCCTGCACTGTCTCTTACTATCTGATTCAGTTCAGAGTACTTTGCTCCCTTCTATGATGACATGTTGGAAAATATAAGTTTTTAAGAATACTAAGGAGCCAAAACAAAAACATAAAAGCATCTAGAACCATTTGCACTCCACCTTCACTTAATAAACACCTTACCATATATCAAAGGTAAAAAATGGAATCTCAAATTTACTAATTTATAAGAATTAGATATCATTATAATGGTTCAACTGATTGAAGCAGAGTGATGCGTAAGGGACAGAAAGTCTCAAGACTCACAACGTGCCATCCACCACCAAGTCAAAGAAAGTGAGTGTGCATTCACTGTGTGGAACACTCAGGAAATGCTTGTGAATGAACGAATAAGTCAGGACATTTGTTTTTCTGACCATTCTTGCCAATTTCATAGGTGAACTTGAGCTTCCATCCAGCACAAAGTCTCCCGGCCTCACACGCCTGCCTGCGAGTCTCAGCTTCTCCTCAGTCCCTCTGCGCCCTCCGTGCTGTGGACCAAAGTGTGCTACTCATGAGGCCCAAGGTTGAGCTGTCCACGGCTTAGGTGAGTTCCGGCAACCCTGGGGGTCAGGAAGGGCCATGCGAGGGTCTCAGAGCAAGGAGATATGGCTATCTGAGTAAGATAGAATCTATCAAAATTCCATTTACCTGGAGTTGCTAGTTTTGATCTCTTTCGCGGGCACTTTTTCTGGTGAGAAATATATTACATTTCAGTACAGAGATATGTATTTCCTTACATAGGTTTACATACATATACAAACATAAACATGCATATGTGTAGGTATGTTTGTTTATATATATGTACATCAATAAAATCATGCATCATTCAAAGTCCCTGAAATCCTAGAGCTCTCTGAAACCAGTAATAGGTATTTTCAAATGAGTTGTAATGTTTGTAAAAGCTCAACAAAAGTAGTACATTTAGTTGCACTAAAACTGATAGGAAATAACAAATTTCTGTTTTTATAAGAATTATATCAAACACCGTATGTCCTAAGATGAACTCAATTTCTGAAGGAAGATATACATTGTCTCTGATGAATAAAAATTGGGAAAATGTGGGCACTTGGATGGCTCAGTTGGTTAAGCATCACTTAAGCATGACTTCAGCTTAAGTGTGGGGGAGTTGGAGCCCCACAACACCAAGTTCAAGCAGGGTGGAGCCCGCTTGGTATTCTCTTTCTCCTCTCTCTCCTTTCTCTCTCTCAAAATAAATAAACTTAGGGACACCTGGGTGGCTTAATTGGTTAAGCGTCCGACTTTGGCTCAGGTCATGGTCTCACAGTTTGTGGGTTCAAGCCCCATGTCGGGCTCTGTGCTGACAACTTGGAGCCTGGAGGCTGCTCTGGGTTTTGTGTGTTTCTCTCTCTACATCCCTCCTCATCCTCTCTGTCTCTCAAAAATAAATAAACATTAAAAATAAATAAATAAGTAAAGAAACAAAAGATTTTTTTGGAAAAATGAATTATTATATGATAAATGACATTAAATTAAATCCTTTAAAATGTTGGGTTAATAGAAGAAACAGCACAAGTGTACACTGGAGTGGAACAATGAGAAACAAATTAACATTTGCTAATAGTCATTTGCTTGTATCTTCAAATTTGCAATATGAGGCCAACCTCTTACTGAGGTTTCTTTCTTACTATCAAAACTTTACAATGAGAAATTTATATTTTACTCCCTGAAAAAAAGTTACAAGAAAAGATTTTTAGTCCTTCCAAATGGAATTTAATTGAAAATATTAGAATTCTTCTAAAGAAAGTATTAAATACATTTCAGTATACTGAATACAATACAGTTTTAAGTACATTCAGTATATTTTTCCACATAGGAAAAATAACAATGTCTTATGTTTATAGAAGAATTCCATCCTTCTTGGGGTCTTTTGATTTATTTATTTTTAATTTCTTTTAAGGAGAGATGGGGCAGAGAAAGAGGGAGAGAGAATCCCAAGTAGTTTCCATGCTGTTGACATGGAGCCAGATGCGGGACTGAATCCCCACAAACCATGAGATCATGACCTGAGCCAAAATCAACAGTCAGTCGCTTGACCGACTGAGCCACCTGGGCACCCATCTCAGGATCTCTTTACATTATAACAACACTGGTGGATAGAGAAGGTAGAACGTCTTATTATGTTTTAATACAAAAATAGAAGCTTTCCAGTGTTTCGTAGTAGACCCGGGTTCGAACACTAGCCCTGGCCTCTCAAGCCTTGATAGCACTTTACTAATGAATCACTTTGATCCCAGTAACATAAGCCATTCATTCCACAGGTATTTATTTAGTGCCTGCTGTATGCTAGGCATACATACTGTTTGTAGGAGTGCTGGGGATATATTAGTGAGCTTGAATAACAAAGCCATGCTCTCATGGGACTTCTGCTTCCATAGATGAGACACAAGAAAAGAAAAAGCAGAGGGGTGACTGGGTGGCTCAGTTTGTTGAGCGTTTGACTTCGGCTCAGGTCATGGTCTCACAGTCTGTGAGTTTGAGCCCCATGTCAGGGTCTGTGTTGACAGCTCAGAGCCTGGAGCGTGATTCAGATTCTGTGTCTCCTTCTCTCTCTGCCCCTCCCCTGCTCATGCTGTCTCTCTCTGTCTCTCAAAAATAAATAAACATTAAAAAAATTTTTAAAGAGAAAAGAAAAAGCAGAGAGGAGACATGGAGGAGAGGAAGAGGGAGCTACCTTTGAGAAAGTATTTAATTTCATGACACTACTCACTTGGCCAATGTATTGCCAAGTAGTTTTAAGCCCCTATTAACATAATGCAGTGTAGTAACAGCATTTTTACATCTTACTCTTCCCCTTCAAATGAATTTGAAAGCATCATTTCCAGTATTTTATGTACTGTGTGAAGATCTGGAGCATTGCATTCCATGAATAATGCTTAAGAAAATACTATCGTTGGGGTGCCTGGGTGGCTCAGTCAGTTAAGTGTCCGACATCGACTCAGGTCATCATCTCGTGGTCCGTGGGTTAGAGCCCTGTGTCGGGCTCCATGCTGACAGCTTAGAGCCTGGAGCCTGTTTCAGATTCTGTGTCTCCCTCTCTCTCTGACCCTCCCCTGCTCACACTGTCTGTCTGTCTGTCTGTCTGTCTGTCTTTCTCACACACAAATAAATAAAACATAAAAAAGAAAAGAAAAGAAAAGAAAATACTATCCTGGCCTATATGGAGGATATCTACTTGTTCATGTGCCCATTCACACGTGTTCATTAACTTTGTTGTACAGTGAGTCAGTTGCTAGCCACAAGGAAAGACAGAACCATCATTTCATTCTATCATCCTGAAGTTTTTTACTATGTCCCAAATATAGCAGACATAGTTTTATCTCAATAAAATTTTATTCCATCCTAGTATGGAGTCTAGTGTTTGCCTCTGAACTATGCAACGAATTGTCCTGATCCTTGAGTACTTAGATGGGAATGTTTTGGGATATTTTCCCTTAAAATTCTTGAAAACAGCTTCATCTCTATAAACTATTTCAGCAACAGTGCACTGAAACGAAGACTGACGGTAACTACTCTTTTCTTCTCTCTTTGCACTTCAGAAGAATAAGCCACAAATAAGCTTGTCCTTTTGTCCTTTGCATTTATACAGGTTTATGATCTGTTGCCAGTGAAGGACCTCACTGGTTTCCCTGGGAGTTTGAATCAACATGAGGAAGATGATGGAGACTGTATCAAAAGCCATAATGTCTTCATCAATGGAATCATGTATTCCCCTGTACCAAATACAAGTGAAAAAGATATATATAGCTTCCTATGGGTAAATTTGTATTTTTACAAATTTTGTAAAATACAAGTAAAGAAACTTGTATTTTACATTCTAAAGATTTTTTGAAGATTTTGAATTCTAAAGAATAATGGGATATTATATGTGAAAAAATATTTGTTTTAATACCTTCATATCACAGTTGAGGGTTATGGGACACAGAGTGGTCAAGTGACTTCTCCAAGGTCATGAATACTAGGCAGATCTGTTAATAGCAACAGAGCCAGGGCTAGAACATTTTGGACTATTAGTCAAGTTTTTTTAATAATTTTTCCTGAAATTCGTTGCCTTGCATTATTTCTAATTGTCACATATATAAAATATTACTCTTAAAAGAGTTTAAACAACAGAATAAAATTACTTCCATGAGTATACCAATATCTTTTCTACAGATGTGAGCATTGAAAGTTCAGGATTGGGGCAACTGGGTGGCTTAGTCAGTTAAGCACCCGACTCTGATCTCGGCTCAGGTCTTGATCTAAGAGTCATGAGTTCAGGCCCTGCTTTGGGCTCCACTTAAAAAAAAGTTTGGTATTAAGCTAATTGGAATGTTTGTGAAACTCAATGAAATATGTGCCTATATATTATATATTTATGTACTAATTAGGTGATAATTTCCTTCATAGGGTATGGGCTTAAAGGCATTCACAAACACAAAGATTCATAAACCCAAAGTATGTTCACCGCCTGAACCCTATGCAATGCAGTCATCTCGAAGGCCATTTGCTTCTCCAGGTAAAAAAAAAAAAAAAAAAAAAAAATTAAAAGTTAATATATTGATTCAAATAAAAGATTTTTTAAAAAGGTAAAATGTGATAAAATTAACAAGTAAGAACTTATGATTCAGATATACTAAGGTTCTTGCTCAAGAGCACATAGGAATACAAACCCAAAAATTCTAGGGGTGCCTGGGTGGCTCAATGAATTGAACATCTCACCCAATTTTGGCTCAGGTCATGATCTCACAGTTTGTGGGATCAAGCCCTACATCGGGGTCTGCACTAACAGCATGGAGCCTACTTGGGATTCTCTCTCCTCTTCTTTCTCTGCCCCTCCCCTACTCGCTCTCTCTCTGTCAAAATAAATAAGATAAACTTTTAAAAAAAAGAATCTGCCTCTAGTAAATGGAGATGTGTGAGGCTGAAAAGGAAAGATATAATTTCTAGTCACAGGATCAGCGTAAATAGAAACAGAATGTTCACAAATTGGGATTATATTCTCACCAGTTAGGTAAGGAAGCTCTAACTTCCCTAATATATCAGTCAATATTCATATTGAAATCACATTTATTTCTCAGTGATATGGGCTCCTTTACTGGTGAATCAGATAGTAAGCAAGCATTTATTTATAGTCTGATATTGTCAAATCATGGTGGAATATAGGTTGAATACAAACTAAAGAGTTTGTCAAAAATCAAGGAAAATAGTCAATGAAAGTAAATTGGCTATATAGAATTTAAATAATCCTTTAAAGTAGAATTCATAGTAGGGGCACCTGGGTGGCTCAGTCAGTTAAGCATCCTACTCTGGCTCAGGTTATGATCTCATGGTTTGTGGGTTCGAGCCCCGTGTCTGTGCTGTGCTGACAGCTCAGACTGGAGTCTACTTCAGATTCTGTCTGCCTCTCTCTCTACTCCTCACCCACTCATACTCTGTCCCTCTCCCTGAAACATAAATAAACATTTAAAAAACAAGAAAACAGGGGCACCTGGGTGGCTTAGTCGGTTAAGCGTCCGACTTTCGCTTAGGTCATGATCTCGGGTTCGTGGGTTCGAGACCCGCGTCAGGCTCTGTGCTGACTGCCAGCTCAGAGCCTGGAGCCTGTTTCAGTCTGTGACTCCCTCTCTCTCTGACCCTCCCCTGCTCACGCTGTCTCTCTCTCTCTCTCTCCTAGAAATAAATAAAAAACATTAAAAAAAATAAAAAACAAGAAAACAAATTTTAAAAACTAAATTAGAATTTTTAGTGAACTTATGTATGGGAACAAATTTTTTTTCAGAGAGCTGATTGTTAAATATTTACCAGCACACCATTAACAGAAAGTAAATAGGCAAGAGAACCCACCTGACCTTCTGAGACATGTGGAAATAAAGAACTTTTTTGATGTTTATTTTTAAAAAATTTTTTCATGTTTTTATTTATTTCTGAGAGAGAGAGACAGCATGAGCAAGGGAGGGTCAGAGAGAGAGGGAGACACAGAATCTGAAACAGGTGCCAAGCTCTGAGCTGGCTGTTAGCACAAAGCCCAACACGGGTCTTGAACCCACAAACCGTGAGATCATGACCTGAGCCGAAGCCGGATGCTTAACTGACTGAGCCATCCAGGCACCCCTGCTTATTTTTATTCTTGAGAGAGACACAGACCGTGAGCCGGGGAGGGGCAGAGAGAGAGGGAGACACAGAATCCAAAGCAGGCTCCAGGCTCTGAGCTGTCAGCACAGATCATGACGTGTGGCTCGAACCCACAGGCTGCAAGATCATGCCCAGATCCGAAGTCGGTTGCTAAACAGACTGAGCCACCCACCCTCCCCAAGAACTTTTTTATCCTCGATCCTTCACTCCTGTACACTTTCTCAGAACCACTGTCATAATGTTTGGAGACAATGGTTCTTTGACCCGACAGAGGAACACGCCAAATGGAAATTGACAGTTGCCCTTCTCCCAACCCAGGGAGGCTCTTTCTCCGAGGCTCTTTCTGCCTTTCTGCCTCTAGGTCTCCATGTCCTCTATTTGTGATTCTCTTTCCCCTCCCCCTGCTCCCCTCTCACTTTGAACTTACTCTAATACTCTAGAATCCAGCTTAACTATCACTTCCTCAAAGAAGTGTTCCCTTAACACCAAAGCACCCTCTCCTGGTTCCTGTCCATTCCATCAGCCTGTTTATTTCTTTTATAACATGTATTACAGTCTCTGATAAGCTTAATCTTTATATTTAGCATTTCGGTCTCCTCTCTCACCCACCATAGTCATATCTGAATTGCAAAGAGGCCGTGAACTTACAGAGATGGCACATGTCTCAGAGGCTTTCACCGAGACTGTGAGAAAGTACTTCCCTGAGACGTGGATCTGGGACTTGGTGGTGGTAAAGTAAGTAACTCTCTTTACATATAAAAGGCAACAATATAGACTCCTCACAATTGTCTGGTTTTAGGTAATTTTTGAATATCCAAGTATTTCTCTTACACACATTGCTGTTTTCAGGAGAGGTCTAACATAAATACTTCTGTGAAGTCTCATTATTCTATCAGAGTGGAGAAATTTTGTACACAATTAATTCTAAGACTTCCAGAAAATGGGAATAAGGACCAGGCACTGCATAGACTAACACCTGTAAGAGATGCTTCATTGGCCAACAATCTTGGGCTAAGCACGGAATCAGTCAGGCCAACTAGACACATTAGTAGTAGAATTAAAAATTGTAAGCCTGCCTTCACTGGATCAGTATTTTAAAGAGTAAAATTTAAGATCAATCTCAAAGTACATATTCAATTTATAATGCTATTGTCTATAATAGATAATGCTACAATTACATGTCAATAGAAGATTCTAATATAGACTGGAATTGGAAACAGAATTGGAAGAAAAGGACTTCTTACATTTTCCCATTTCAAGCCTTGATTATTCTCTCCTTTATTTATATTTCTACTGAGTGCCTTCAGGTCATGACAATAGAATTATTTACAGGAGTTCTCTTCCTAGAAAGAATTTATGTCACTGCTTACTTTCTGTTCTTCACATTTCTATCCTCCTCAGCTCATCAGGTGTGGCTGAAGTGGGTGTGACAGTCCCTGACACCATCACTGAGTGGAAGGCAGGCGCCCTCTGTCTTTCCAATGACACTGGACTTGGTCTGTCTCTTCCCGCCTCCCTCCGCGCCTTCCAGCCCTTCTTTGTGGAGGTCACCATGCCCTACTCGGTGATCCGTGGAGAGGCCTTCACACTCAAGGCCACTGTCCTAAACTACCTTCCCAAGTGCATCTGGGTAAGGACCTCTCTTTCCTCAATTGAACACAACAGTCCAGTAAATTAAAACCTGCATCCTTTGAAATACTGACAAACTTCCATGTGTAAAATGAGCTCACCAGGGGAGGAATACTCTCAGAGATATTCATATGTTACAGAGGCTATGGGTGCTGGTATTTTCAAATACATGCAACTTAAAACAAGCTTCTGACCCTTACCAGAACCCTACAGGTTTAGGAAGCTTGTGAAGTATGAAGCTTTCTGAGAAGGTGAACAAAAATCAGTACACTTCATTCTCGCGTCTTAGATCCCTCAAGGTTTCAACTTCTACCTTCCATTTATTTCACTTTCATACAGCATCACATACCATTAAACACATTAAACCTTACTTTAAAAGTTATTGGTGAGCATCTGACCTCCCCTGAAACCACAACCACTTATCAATTGCGTATACTGTGCTGGAAGAGCTGAGGGAATGGTCAAGATCCCAGGCCAAAGATGTAGAGTTTCCACAGGCAACGGGCCATCATGACTTTTGCTCACCTCTTGTCCCACCCCATGAATGAGCAGATTCTCGAAAAATACTAAGATTTCCATGTCAGCTCCACTGTAAGGTCGTTGGCTTGCATTTGGGTCATCTTCAGTATCAGGCAACCTAAAATCTAACCAATCCCCAGCATGCTTTATCTCAAACCATTATGCTTTTGGTCCCCTTCTCCTTCTGATCTGTCTCTTGGTTTCACGTGTGGTTTCAGGTGAGTGTGCAGCTAGACCTGTCTCCTGCATTCCTAGTCCAGGAGAAGAAACAAGAGTCTCACTGCGTCTGTGAGAATGGCCGGCAGACTGTGTCCTGGGCAGTGACGCCAAAGGCATTAGGTGAGGAACAATCTCCTAGAGACAATTTCTACTCAAGGACTGTGTGTATCAGTAGGAACCTTATATCTAATGCCACTTGCTCAAGCAAAAACACCCCCCCCTCCAACAGTAGGATTTTTTTCCTTTGTCTTTTGTTCTAAGATGTCTAGGAAGTGCTATCCCCACTTCCCTTACCCCCATCTCCACCTTGGATTCTCAGTGGCATTCGGCTCTCTGCTTCCATCCTTGCTCCTGTGTTTTCATAAAACCAAAAGTGGTTACAAAACCCTGAACACTTATGAAACTTGAGGTTGGAGGCAAGGAGAAGGAAAGCGATGGTGCTTATCTGTATGGCCCCTTTTTTAGGAAATGTGAACTTCACCGTGAGCGCAGAGGCACTGGAGTCTCAAGAGCCATGTGAGACTGAGGTGGCTGTGGTCCCTGAATATGGAAAGAAAGACACAATCATTAAGTCTCTGCTGGTTGAAGTAAGTAAGACAACCCATTTGATAGGTCACAATGAGTCAATAAAAACAATGGTGAATCCAGTTGAGATTTCAAGGGCTAAATAATACATAATCACAGAACAGTTCACAATATTCTCTTCTTTCTCCATCTCTCTCTATCTGTATCTCTCTCTCTCTCTCTCTCGATATTTATATAATTTTCCCTCATTTCCTCATCTATCAACCTGCTTCCTTCATATTGCTTATACTTACAGAATTTGTGTATGTAATACATTTGGAAGGCAGCCCCACTATCAAGAAATGGGTGGTTCCCCTCTCAATATCCATGTCCATTCTCACCTCTACCTTTTCTTTCCTTCACCTAAAGCCTGGAGGACTAGAAAAGGAAGCAACATTCAACTCCCTGCTCTGTCCATTGGGTAAGAGTCACTCATCATAATTAAAATAGCATTGACCAAAGCTTGTGTAACATTTCAAGTTCAAAGAATTTTATATGTTATTATATTATTATTATTATATATATAACATTATATATTATTCCTACACTTCCCTATGAGGTAAGTAAGACCCAGAGAACCATCATCCCATTTGAGAAGACACTAAAGCAACTCACAATAGAAGATATAACTTTATCTTGGTGGAGAGTTTTCTAGTCTAAACAAAAACACAGAAATTTAGTACACTAAGAAAATTATCAACACAATGTGTTCTCACCTCAAACAATGTGGAATCAATATCATACATGTGTTTCTTGACTTTCTCTGTCTACCTATTAATTTCTGTTTACTGTGTTTATTATACTGTCAAGACTTCAAATATATAAAATATGTTTTATTTTAGCCTTACTTCTACATCTCAGTGAATTTACCACCAAATCCTTTTATCATGGCTTGCCCTCTATTCCTGAGTTCTTTGTTTTCATTTATTTCTTATGTGTCTAGGGCTAATCATCAAGCGGTTTTATTAAAATTATTTTTTATTGGGGGGGGCTGGGTGGCATGGTCAGTTAAGCATCTGACTTTGGCTCAGGTCATGATCTCACGGTTCATGGATTCAAGCCCCATGTCGGGCTCTGTGCTGACAGCTCGGAGCCTGGATGGAGCCTGCTTCAGATTCTGTGTCTCCCTCTTCTCTCTGCCCCTCCCCCAGTCACACTCTGTCTCTCTCTCTCTCCCAAAAATAAACAGTAAAATTTTTTTAAATTAATTTGTATTGTCCATGTAATACAAAAATACCTTCTCCTTTCCAAGGCACAACTTCATATTAAAGGCAATATTTTATAACACTTTAATTATCATCCATTTATGTTTAGAAATAACATGCATAGGGGCGCCTGGGTGGCTCAGTCGGTTAAGCATCCGATTTTGGCTCAGGTCATGATCTCACGGTTCGTGGGTTCGAGCCCCATGTCGGGCTCTGTGTTGACAGCTAGCTCAAAGCCTAGAGCCTGTTTCAGATTATGTATCTCCCTCTTTCTCCCTGCTCACACTATCTCTCTCTCGCTCTCAGAAATAAATAAAACATTAAAAAAATTTTTTTTAAAAAGAAATAACATGCATAGGTGAATTTGTTTTTTTTTCACATAATTTTTTTTTTTTACAAATAGTTTATTGTCAAATTAGTTTCCACATAACACCCAGTGCTCATCCCCACAAGTGCCCTCCTCCATGCCCATCCCCCCCTCCCCCCCACATCCATCAGTCCTCAGTTTTTGTCAGCATTCAAGAGTCTCTCATGGTTTGCCTCTCTCCCTTTCCCCCACCATTTCCCCCCTTCTTCTCCCGATTGGTCCTCTGTTAAGTTCCTCCTAGTCCTCCTATACGTGCACACATATGATATTTGTCCTTCTCTGCCTGACTTATTTCGCTCAGCATAACACCCTCAAGGTCCATCCATGTAGCTACACATGGCCAGATTTCATTGTTTCTCATTGCCATGTAGTATTCCATGGTATAGATAAACCACATCTTCTTGATCCATTCATCTGTTGATGGACACTTAGGCTCTTTCCATGTTTTAGCTATTGTGGAGAGTGCTGCTATGAACATTG